TCCTGAAAGATGCGCTCTAGCATTTCATGTTAACACAACAGGGCATTCTATGAATTACACACGTATTAAAGTTCTTGATAAATAAAAACACCTTTCCAAACGTTTATTCCTGGAAATGTCCCACATTTTCATGAATAACAACTGTATCAACAAAAAGACAGATGTTAAACAACTGAGTGCCATTTACTCATATTTGCTGAACTGCGAAAAATTGGAGAACTTACATATCTCCCCAAATTTCGACTCTTCACAACCATAAATAGAATCTGTGTTTTGGCCGATTCCACCAGTAAATTTCATTCCACTCAAAATATAATAATTCTCTTCTCACGATTTATTAATAATTATTAATTTAAATTTCCATTAATTAAAATATAGTTTATTCAACTGCCTCTGGTCGGTTTAACAATTTCTCACATAACATTCTGAAAATCACATCATCTGAAATGATTTGGCAACGTTTGGCACGCGCCCACAATTCGTTCCATCTTTCAACACAGACATTGACAACCTTCGGCCTTCTGTCAAAGGGTTTCATCTCACTCACTATTCCATGACCACCATTTTGTGCAATCATCAAGTGGCTTCACGGTGTAATGCTCTAATGTTTTTTAAATAATTTTAATCTGTTTTTAACTTGTTCTTGTCATATTTTATATAATTTTGAGCATTGTACCATCTATCCAGCTCTCGTCATGTTACTGGACGTTTCCCTCATCCTATACGTAAACAACAATTAGCAACATCCTCACATACTACTGTAAGTTGAGTCAATTCAAATTCATTTTACACTTTTGTTGCTACTGTTATCATTGTAATTGCAGCTCCTGATGATGATGGCAAAGTCCATTGAAAGCTAGAGAGAATTAAAAAAGTATAAAGAGTCCTCTTTGCTTAAATTTTGTCGAAGTACCCAACAAAAGGCGGAAGCTTTAATTTTTCACCTAACTGGTCTAGACGACAATGACCACGTCTCAAGTTATATATATATATAGTAAATAGAAAGACACCTGTGACAAATTTCTCACGGATATTTTTTTAACGCGGGAATATAGCATTAGGGCTATCTTCGGATAAAATACTTTAATCAATACTATTACACAGTAATTCATTACAAATTATTTTATTTCCTAGCGATTACACCAGCTAACACGCCAGATACTTTCTCCGTGTATACATCCGACTGGAAGTTAGGTTATTCGACCCTTCTGATTGCTTTTAACTTGGGACTGATACTTGTTTATTCAAGAGAACTAATCCAAATCGATTTACTAATGGCAGAGCATAAGCTGACATGCTTGATCTGGAATCCACTGTAATACCAGCGATACTACTAAGAGTTCATTCATGCACACTAAATGGGAAAAGACTTCTCATTTTAGATCATAGCAAACTACCTGCAACATTTGACTACAAGATAGTGGCAATATTTGACGTGAACGACGATTACATCAACTGCTTGTGCTGGAACCATTATGGCAGCAAAATTTCCGAGTGTACAGAAGATGGGTTTGTTTATGTAAGTAATAGTGACATCGACCTGTTATCAATGTTGTTTTAAGCGCATTCGAATTGACGTATCTCACCAAACTGAAAACCGGTTCAGTTTCATAAAAAATCTACCTCAAACTTAGGGTTGTCCAAATATGAAAATCAGTTAGCTTGATGTTTGGAATTATCGGCCATAAAGTATGACAGACATGCATATAATGATTTAAAGTTACTGTCGAAAGTATATTGATCCCTGATACCTCACTGCCCACGCTCAGTGGCGGAAGTTTTGAAAATGATATATTTTTTGGATGTTGATGAATATAGCAATCAAGTCAGAAGATTCAATGAAAAGGCCAACCATTGCTCACAGTGAAGGCGTCGCGAAAAATAGCACACTAGACGTAGCACGTGTAAATATAAGATCACTTATTCCAAGCTTTGATATGTTTTTAGGCATTAGAGCAGAACCTCCATACTACCGCAATAACAGAGATTTGGTTTACACCTGATTTTGACAGACAAGAAAGGGGAGGTGGAGCATGTTTTTATATCCATACCAACATAAAATTTAAAGTCATAGATTGTAATAGAATTTCTTCGGATGGCATTGGATCTGCGGTTATCGCTAAAACTAAATAATGAGATCAGTGCGGTAGGTGTTATTTGACATCTCCTGCATTAAGTTTACTTCCTCGCCTTGAGAATAACTATCCCTCCATATGCATTACCCATGATGAAGTTATATTGACCTCACCGATAAGTTTTCGAATCCCAGTAAGAAAATCTTACAATCCATGGCATTATTCAATCTCGTTCAAGCTACTGGTGAACCTACAAGAATCACCAAGGATTCAGCTACTATGATTGATGTAATTTTTGTATCAAATGCATTGAATGTACACAAGAGTGGCACTATAGGTATGGGAAAATAACTGATCATAGATTATACTTCTGTGAATTGAAGATTGAAATTCCTGAATGCACTCCTAGCAAATTTTATTGTTGTGACTTTTCACACTTCAATTATGATGAATTTGCTGAGGATGCAACAGTCTTCCATCTTACTGAGAACAGTATCTTGCTGTATGACATACGTGCTGCGATGGAAATAACTACACCTCGTGAATTCTACAGGCGGTTCGTTATCTATATAATGAAATGTATAATATGACGGATTTGATGAAGGGCTTGTTGAAAATTTCATATTTCTTAACGACCTGCAGAAGGAAGCATACAAAACCGTTGACCCGTGCCATCGGAACTACTTTCAAATTATCAGACTCTATGCGCAAAGCCTTTCAAGAAAACGCAAGTTTCAAGAGGCAGCTGTCGTCTACATGATGCTGGACTACATAAAGAGGCGATAGAAGAATATAGACTTGGTTTAGACTGGAGAGAGGTCATAGGCTGATGACTGTAATGAAGTATGATGAATCTGTCAAGCGAGATGTGTTGGGGAAGATTGCGGATGACCTGGTAAAAGAGAAAAGGGTAGAGGAAGCTGAGATAGTGTTGGAATACCATAATAAAGATTATAAGAAGACGATCAAGAATTTGATGGACTTCAAGTCCTTCAGGCACGCCATATGCCTAGCAGTATCACTGGGTCTTGATTTAGAACTGCCTACTATTGCCGACGGTTTGAGCAAATATCTAGGCGACCTAAAGGAAAAACTGTTGTCGTTCAAGGATCAGTTTGAACGGTACAGAAGGCGTCTGAAGATCGCAAGAAAGGAACAGATGAACAGGTTCGAGCTAGACGCATTGGGCATCTACAATGGAAATACGGAAGAAGAACTCTCAAAGATTGCTAGCACTAGTTCCTCCATGCCAAGAGAGGTCATAAGGCTATGACTGTATTGAAGTATGATGAATCTGTCAAGGCGAGATGTGTTGGGGAAGATTGCGGATGATCTGGTAAAGAGAAAAGGGTAGAGAGAAGCTGAGATGATAGGGTTGGAATACCATAATAAAGATTATAAGAAGACGATCAAGACTTTGATGGACTTCAAGTCCTTCAGGCACGCATATGCCTACCAGTATCACTGGGTCTTGATTTAGAACTGCCTACTATTGCCGACGGGTTGAGCAAATATCTAGGCGACCTAAAGGAAAAACTGTTGTCGTTCAAGGATCAGTTTGAACGGTACAGAAGGCGTCTGAAGATCGCAAGAAAGGAACAGATGAACAGGTTCGAGCTAGACGCATTGGGCATCTACAATCGAAATACGGAAGAAAAACTCTCAAACATTGCTAGCACTAGTTCCTCCATGCCATCGACTAGCTCTGGACGAACTAACTCCACCACTTTGACAGCAAAGAACGGGCGTAAACATATCAAGGAACTGACCCCTAAGCTGATCAGATTGTGCAGTCCTTTGAACTTTCGAATTGCTTGCAAATCCGTCCTCACTATAAACTGCATTTTTTCAAAAATGAAAGACAAAGTCCCGCTGCTTGGCTCACTATTCCATGACCACCATTTTGTGCAATCATCAAGTGGCTTCACGATGTAATGCTCTAATGTTTTTTAAATAATTTTAATCTGTTTTTAACTTGTTCTTGTCATATTTTGTATAATTTTGACCATTGTACCATCTATCCAGCTCTCACAATGTTACTGGACGTTTCCCTCATCCTATACGTAAACAACAATTAGCAACATCCTCACGTATTACTGCAAGTAGAGTCAATTTAAATTCATTTTACACTTTTGTTGCTACTGTTATCATTGTACTTGCAGCTACTGATGATGATGGCAAAGTCCATTGAAAGCTAGAGAGAATTAAAACAAGTATAAAGAGTCCTCTTTGCTTAAATTTTGTCGAAGTACCCAACAAAAGGCGGAAGCTTTAATTTTTCACCTACCTGGTCTAGACGACAATGACCACGTCTCAAGTTATATATATATATATATATATATATTAATCAGACAAAAACGTTGAATTTTAACTGGAGAATATTCAATCACAGGTTCCAAAGAGAGCTCGTCAGCTCGTTGATAATATGGATAGGACAGACCTCGGAGGTGACAGACTCATGGGCAAAGATGGCCGTTCCACCACACTTGCTCTCAGATCTGCAAATACTACAAACCAGTGAAAATTCATTTATACAAGTGCACTAAATTTGATCATTTTCTGACCAATGTTCATCCATACAAAGGAATTTTGTATATTGTTCTTGACCGTAAGCTTCCAAAGGTCTATTTTACTTGGCAAGCTCGTATGGATATTTATTATCTCGTCATGTTTTTGTTGTCTTTGTGGAACACATGTTCGTTGTCAGATGGAATCATTTTTTTGCCTCAGTAGGCCAAGAGGCAACAAGTGTATAATCCCGACTTGAGTCAGCTGTTTCTGGGGAGACTCTCTACCATCAAGGGTAAGGTAACGGCTGAGACAATAATACCACGATTAAGTTGCGAGACACTGTATTCACTGAACCCCTATAGATATAAACGTATTGGAAATAGGGAATCTTAATTAAACTTAAAATATGTAGACCTTCTGGCGCGCGCGACACGCTGACCCTCTTGCTCGCAATCCGTTCATCAGTAATCACCTGTGGTTTCTCATTGATTTTTGTAGCAAGATCCTTCTGTCTGAGTCCTTTAGCTTGACGCCCTTGCTGAATCAACTTGCCAACGTCCAATGGAATGGTTTCGTGTTTCAGTTCCTCAGTCTCACGATCAAGCTTTGCAGTATTCTTTGTGGTCACATGCTGTTTGTTACTACCAGATGTATTGTACTGAAAAATATAATTACATGTCCACACCACACACATAGTCTAAGCTGTAGACGAGAATATTGATTTGCCAGAATTAAACTTTGTCAATAAAGAGTGACATCTGTATGAGTTTAAGCTAGGGTTGCCTTTTGAAGAATTTGTTGCATTCGTTAACTTATATTTCTAGAATACTTACCTGGTGCATCAAAAGGCGGATGATCTTTTATTCGAAATACATTCAATATATAATCCCTTGTACCGCAGAATATAATGTAACGTTTTTCTGGGTTCTTTTGGGTGTGGATTAAAACTCGAGATTCCACAAAAATAAATGCACTACTTTACTTTACTTGACCAGATAGAACATTTATGTACACCACTATTTATGTCTAACTAATTCTTATGCCGCGCCATTGATTGCACTCCACTCCGCTCTACTCTAATGTACCCCGCACCGTGCTTCCATCTCCCGGCAGTCGAGTTATATATACTCCGAATCGCTGCTTCGAGAGAGGTTTGGCGAGCGACAAAGCGGCATCTAGAATATTTGAGGTCACCTGGCGTAGATCTAGAAGGCGAGTCACTGGTACGAGAAGGAAAGTCTCCTTATAGATGGCGCCAACAGTACTATCTATTATCGTCACACTGCCCCCTCGGTAAAGTCATTCCGTCCCGGAATGATCTTATTGGCGGTGGATCACGATATCGGCACGACTGCCCTTTCTTGCAGTAGGAGTTCTTAAGAAGTAACAATCCACACTCCTTCCAGTAGGTAGCCGTCTAGGACTGTGACAAGATACCAGAAATCGAATGGCCATTAGCATTGTGAGCCATAAAAAGATCAAATGTCATGTCCGATTCTGGTTGGATTTGCTGCATCGCCGCATCTTCGTTGTTTCCATGATAAGGTGCCCTGTAGTCGACGGAGTTTTTGAGGATCTATGACTGTAGGTTCTGATGGAGAAGGACTGACTTTGTGGCAGATGGGTTGTGGAGTCTTTATATCTAGCATAGATTTCAACTAATCCTAGTCATTTCTCAACTAATAGATATTGATTCAGCTTGTGGAAAACTCTGAATGTATAATTTAATTTTTGTAAAAAATGTTCTTGCCATTTAATTTTTGCCGAGCTATAGGTAAGGGAGGCAGCTGCTCCTGGGGACGCCCTCGTATAGATAGAAAGCACTTTCTGGGATTTACTAGCCTTCATTGAGGGACATGCAACATTGCAAATTACCGAGGAGATGTCTCCAAACATCCTAATGTAAATAAACAGGTCTATATTTTTTATTAGCGGTGTTTTTGTGAGATGTAAATTTGAATATTGTTGGCTCGTCGGCAATTGTTTATGAAGTTACACGTCTCGTTGAAGGGAATCTGATAATTCTAGGTCTTTAACGGCCTCACGTCCATTTTTGAAACTGTTGGACTACTTGAACATCTGGCTCTAATAAAGGTAAACGTTTCCTTAGTCATTCTGTCGAAACGGAAGCAAAATGGGAGATTGCATTACATGCAACTGGGTTGCTGCACGGCAATTATGAAACGCGCTCTGTATTGGTTTTTGTCAATAATAATGTAATGTATCTATTTGTATTCTGATCTACCTGTATATGTCATGGAAATGACACTTCGGTCCGGAACGTCAACCTGAACGTTTTGCCAAAGGACTGTTATTTAAAACTGTTACAATTACTGCTTAATAGACCACTTGACATTTGAAATAAAAGTGCGTACTACTTGTGATCCTTTGTAAGCATATCCCGTACAATACCAAACATTACAGTGGCATGCATGGTACGATTCTAATAAAAATTACAGGTTACCACAGCTGAGGAAGATTGGAAATGCCGTTTGCACCCACCCGCTCTACCAACTGACGAAATAACCTGGATATGTTCAGAATGCGGAGATTGGATGCGTAAACCTAGCGTAGAATTGCCAAAGATCAACATGTACCCTGCACGAAGCACTCCAGAATCCCGTTTTAGGAATATCTGAGCCGTTATGCGACGATCTGGTGGTATGTCTATCGAACCCGAGGTATCAAGTACTCAGTTGATACCTGCCTTGGGACGACCTCCATAGAATTTGCAAAATGTACTTGCATGACCCGCAGAATGCTAAGAATTTAGTCACTGAGCTGAAATTTGTTGACATAGATTACTCTATGTTTAAAAATATCAAGACAGAACCACTGGATGAGCTTGCTGGTATTGAGAGAGGATACGAACAGTATTTAGATCAGAATTTTGTTTCTGATGAAGAATCGCCGTCAAATAGCGAAGATTCGATGTCACAGGACTCACGACCGTACAGTCTTGGAAGTGACGGTGCCGGAGACTTCTTTTTACCGTTACTGAATACACTACCGAAAAATCCGATCCCACGACCCTCAAAAACCTGAGAGAATTTAGACCGGCATTAAAAAGGCACAAGGATAAGGATTCGAACGAAGGCACGAATGAAAAACAGTTCAAGCCTTCTTCTAGCGAACCTCAGCCTTCGACTTCGACAGCCACAGATGAGTCAAAAAACGTAAAACTTGCCACATTGCCCCAACTTCGTGGGCAAGTGGCAAGGGAAATGAAAGTAATGAAAATAACGCTAAAGGATATATTAAAAAAATTACATCAGAAAACAGAATAAGGATCCATGGAGCAACAACCTCTCAAGGAGATAGTATCTGTAAAACCAACAGAACAGACATTGAACAAAGAAACACAAAACAGGCCCTCGTTCAGTTCATCCAGAAAAAAATCTGGATATCAGCAGCTCTCAGAAGAAAGTTCTCATAAGCATACCCAAGGAAAGAATAAAAATGTCTCAGGTCATTGCTCAATACCCGCCACGAAGTCAACCAAGAACCATTACGCGGAAGCATACGCCTCTGATACTAAAATCATCAAAGTCAACTCATCAAATCAAGGTAGTACCTCCAAGCTCCCAGAAAGAAACCAGTACTCCGCTCTCATTGGAACAGAAATTACTGCTGCGCTCTCGGCAAACGCAACCAGTGCTGGAAAACCCAATCAACGAGGTGGCACCAGTGGATTCGCAAGTAGGAGCTGCTTCAATCCGCACCACGTCCAAGCACACTGTCTCCCAAGATTCAAGACTCACATCCAATAACTTCAGTGGAAACTCAGTCTCAAACGCCAGCTATCGGCCAGCAGTTGGTACGCAACACGATACCACAAAGTTTGATAAGCCCACAACCAATCAGCAAGACTCTGCAAGTTCACGACACCCAACCCAACACCTCAAAAGGACCGAGTACACCACAGCCTGTAAGGAACGACAAAATTACGGATCCTCAGCCCAGCACCTCAAGGAAACCACTATTACTACGAGTGAAAACACCTGTGTGGCTCAGTACAGCGGATGTACCTCAACCTCGGGGAACCAGCTCAGAATTAATAATCGCAAAAAGTCAAGCGGTTTTACCCCAGACCAGCAAAGCATCAACAGCAGTGACACCTTCCAAACAGCGAGCCAACATTCTGCAACCCAAGGTGATTACCTTGGCTCAGCATCAGCCATGCCTATTTCAGGAAACCAGTTTACTATCAACATTCCCAGAACTCCAGGCAGAAGTACCTGCGGCCAGCCTAGTAAAAACTACGGCCAAGGAGGTCAGTCTGCCTCAGCCAAGGGAACATCAGGGATCCAGTTCCAAATCAGTTCTGAGAAGCAAAGCGGTAGTATCTCCAATTCCAGTCAACGTGGTCACTCTTCCTATACCAGTGGTACCTCCGGGGAGTACTCCTCGAGTAAAGACGCTCTCTATCCTTCAGATAGTGCCGCCTCGAACAACAAACGCACGGGCAGTACCCCAGCCACCATCTGTCAGTCCGCATTCAACAACAAGACTTACTTCACCACCAGTAGTACAAAAAATGACTGTCAAACGTCAAATTTTGGATATGCCACAACAAATAGCTTATGTGACTCAGCAAGAAGTCAGTCATGTAGTGGCCAGGGATATGACACAACAGGAATTAACATCTGCCAAGCCTCAGGAAGTCAGTCTAACGTTGAAGGATATGGCTCAACATGACCTCCAGACTACGTCTCAGAATATTCGAGAACCCAGTCCTTCAAACAGTCAGACTCTAACAGAAGCTGGGACGAGGGGGATGGACCGACTTATTCAGGCAGCTCGAAATTTCGATGCTCGCCAAAAGGAGAAGCACAATATAACCGTTCAGAAGCAGCGAATCCAAGCAGGCGACCTCCAGGACACACAACTCATACTACAGGCCTCGCCAGAAATGAAGTGCACGCTACAGGAAGTCGGCCAGGGTCAACCATCTTCATCAACTCAGGCAGCATCGTTACAAAAGGACATCCCAATCGCGTCTCCCATGAAGACACATCAGATATTAACAGAAATCTATCCTTGGAGGCTAGAAGGGAGCAGACTGAGCACACCATCCCCAGAATTTGCTCAGTTAGTGCAACAGATAACAACAGAGGTTCACAATCCTTCGACGTTGCAGGAGGACAGCCCGGTTCAACAAATAGAGACCAGTCCACCTCAGTTGCCACTAGAGGACTTGATGGATCAACTGTCTTCCTTACAAGAAACTGATCCAACATCACCATATATCAATCCGCCTCGATCACTGCCAGAGGAACTATTTCAGATCTAAAACCTGGATCACTTAGTCAGTCATATAACTCAAGAAACCAACAGCATGCCGACTACACCTCCACGGGAGTCGCACAAACTTCCAGTAGAGATGAATCTTCGTCTCCAACAAGAAATCAGTCCTTCTCCTACCCTGTTAGGCAGTTCATCTCTGCATGCGATGGAAAAGGATCATCTGCCTACACAACCCATCTGCCACAAAGTCAGTCCTTCTAAATCAGAACCTACAGTCATAGATCCTCAAAAACTCCGTCGACTACAGGGCACCTTATCATGGAAACAACGAAGATGCGGCGATGCAGCAAATCCAACCAGAATCGGACATGACATTTGATCTTTTTATGGCTCACAATGCTAATGGCCATTCGATTTCTGGTATGTTGTCACAGTCCTAGACGGCTACCTCCTGGAAGGAGTGTGGATTGTTACTTCTTAAGAACTCCTACTGCAAGAAAGGGCAGTCGTGCCGATATCGAGATCCACCGCCAATAAGAACATTCCGGGACGGAATGACTTTACCAAGAGGGCAGTGTGACGATAATAGATAGTACTGTTGGCGCCATCTATTAGGAAACTCTCCTTCTCGTACCAGTGACTCGCCTTCTAGATCTACGCCAGGTGACCTCAAATATTCTAGATGCCGCTTTGTCGCTCGCCAAACCTCTCTCGAAGCAGCGATTCGGAGTATATAATTTTTACAAAGATAAATTTATTACCAAACGAAAGCCTAAACATTAATTTTATTTATGGAAAAGAGTATCGGATAAATGAGCACCGTTCATGTTTTCACACTCTCTTAATCTCGAATTGAAGTTTTCGATCACTCTCCGAAGCATTGCTCGAGGAATGGCGTTTATTTCATCTGTTATTTTTTGCTTCAACTCTCTCAAATCTTGTGGCGGTGGGGTGTATACCTTACTCTTCAGGTATCCCCAAAAGAAAAAATCTGCTGGTGTCAAATCGGGACTTCTCGGTGGCCAGTTAATGTCTCCTCTGCGACTGATGACCCTCTCTGGGAATAACTGATGAAGAGCATCCAAGGATTCATTCGTGACATGAGAAGTCGCTCCATCTTGCTGGAAAAACGTGTTTCTATTGTAGCCACCATGGTTCTGTATAGCTGGAGTTAAAAAAGTCCTAATCATGTGGCAGTAGCGCTCAGATGTTACAGTTTGAGCTTGGCCACGATTGTCTTCAAAAAAATACGGGCCAATGATTCCTTGCCCTGACATAGCAGCCCAGACGATAACTTTATATCGGCAGTTTTGTTTATTAACATGCCCGTTAATGTGAAAATTCGATTCATCAGAAAACCATATGTTGTTGTAACCGTTAAAATGCTCTCTCATTGTTCTACAGAACTCTAATCGATTAGCGGGATCTTGTGGTTTTAATTGTTGTGTAACAACAATCTTGTATGGGTGAAAATGCAAATCCTTGCGAATAATGCGATGAACAGTTGACTTATGCAAAGTTAGAGACGCTCCACGCAGTCTTAATGATTGCCGGGGATCCTCGTTAACGGACTGGCGCACACGTTCAATATTTTCGTTCGATCTTGCTGACCTTGGCCGTCCAGGCGGTTTACTAATACACGTGTTTCCAGTGCTCTCGAACTTTCTTACCCAATATTTAATTAAATTTGCGCTTGGGACATCTCTCATTCTTGCTATGTTATAATGATTTCTGTACAAACGACCGTACAAGCACATAAGAATCTTTGTTTTTATAGAACTCGCGACACACAAAAAGCACGTTGCGGCCCTGTAAAACGCTCCATTGCAACTAAAATTTAACAATGTTGCCAAACGTTTGTCAACTGTCTCGTTTTCTCCGGAGCATGCGTATTCCGCCAGAGGACTGATCTAAAAACGAAAATATTTCTGAGACACCCTTTTAAACTCGACGGCCGGAGATGGAAGCACGGTGCGGGGTACATTAGAGTAGAGCGGAGTGGAGTGCAATCAATGGCGCGGCATAAGAATTAGTTAGACATAAATAGTGGTGTACATAAATGTTCTATCTGGTCAAGTAAAGTAAGAAGTGCATTTATTTTTGTGAATCTCGAGTTTTAATCCACACCCAAAAGAACCAGAAAAACACTACATTATATTCTGCGGTACAAGGGATTATATTGAATGTATTTCGAATAAAAGACCATCCGCCTTTTGATGCACCAGGTAAGTATTCTAGAAATATAAGTTAACGAATGCAACAAATCCTTCAAAAGGCAACCCTAGCTTAAACTCATACAGATGTCACTCTTTATTGACAAAGTTTATTCTGGCAAATCAATATTTTCGTCTACAGCTTAGACTATGTGTGTGGTGTGGACATGTAATTATATTTTTCAATACAATACATCTGGTAGTAACAAACAGCATGTGACCACAAAGAATACTGCAAAGCTTGATCGTGAGACTGAAGAACTGAAACACGAAACCATTCCATTGGACGTTGGCAAGTTGATTCAGCAAGGGCGTCAAGCTAAAGGACTCAGACAGAAGGATCTTGCTACAAAAATCAATGAGAAACCACAGGTGATTACTGATGAACGGATTGCGAGCAAGAGGGTCAGCGTGTCGCGCGTGCCAGAAGGGCTACATATTTTAAGTTTAATTAAGATTCCCTATTTCCAATACGTTTATATCTATAGGGGTTCAGTGAATACAGTGTCTCGCAACTTAATCGTGGTATTATTGTCTCAGCCGTTACCTTACCCTTGATGGTAGAGAGTCTCCCCAAAAACAGCTGACTCAAGTCGGGATTATACACTTGTTGCCTCTTGGCCTACTGAGGCAAAAAAATGATTCCACCTGACAACGAACATGTGTTCCACAAAGACAACAAAAACATGACGAGATAATAAATATCCATACGAGCTTGCCAAGTAAAATAAACCTTTGGAAGCTATATATATATATATATATTATTCATATTATATATATATATATTAATCAGACAAAAACGTTGAATTTTAACTGGAGAATATTCAATCACAGATTCCAAAGAGAGCTCGTCAGCTCGTTGATAATATGGATAGGACAGACCTCGGAGATGATAGACTCATGGGCAAAGATGGCCGTTCCACCACACTTGCTCTTAGATCTGCAAATACTACAAACCAGTGAAAATTCATTTATACAAGTGCACTAAATTTGATCATTTTCTGACCAATGTTCATCAATACAAAGAAATTTTGTATATTGTTCTTGACCGTAAGCTTCCAAAGGTCTATTTTACTTGGCAAGCTAGTATGGATATTTATTATCTCGTCATGTTTTTGTTGTCTTTGTGGAACACATGTCCGTTGTCAGGTGGAATCATTTTTTTGCCTCAGTAGGCCAAGAGGCAACAAGTGTATAATCCCGACTTGAGTCAGCTGTTTCTGGGGAAACTCTCTACCATCAAGGCTAAGGTAACGGCTGAGACAATAATACCACGATTAAGTTGCGAGACACTGTATTCACTGAACCCCTATAGATAGAAACGTATTGGAAATAGGGAATCTTAATTAAAGTTAAAATATGTAGCCCTTCTGGCGCGCGCGACACGCTGACCCTCTTGCTCGCAATCCGTTCATCAGTAATCACCTGTGGTTTCTCATTGATTTTTGTAGCAAGATCCTTCTGTCTGAGTCCTTTAGCTTGACGCCCTTGCTGAATCAACTTGCCAACGTTCAATGGAATGGTTTCGTGTTTCAGTTCTTCAGTCTCACGATCAAGCTTTGCAGTATTCTTTGTGGTCACATGCTGTTTGTTACTACCAGATGTATTGTATTGAAAAATATAATTACATGTCCACACCACACACATAGTCTAAGCTGTAGACGAGAATATTGATTTGCCAGAATTAAACTTTGTCAATAAAGAGTGACATCTGTATGAGTTTAAGCTAGGGTTGCCTTTTGAAGAATTTGTTGCATTCGTTAACCTATATTTCTAGAATACTTACCTGGTGCATCAAAAGGCGGATGGTCTTTTATTCGAAATACATTCAATATATAATCCCTTGTACCGCAGAATATAATGTAGCATTTTTCTGGGTTCTTTTGGGTGTGGATTAAAACTCGAGATTCCACAAAAATAAATGCACTTCTTTACTTTACTTGACCAGATAGAACATTTATGTACACCACTATTTATGTCTAACTAATTCTTATGCCGCGCCATTGATTGCACTCCACTCCGCTCTACTCTAATGTACCCCGCACCGTGCTTCCATCTCCCGGCCGTCGAGTTATATATACTCCGAATCGCTGCTTCGAGAGAGGTTTGGCGAGCGACAAAGCGGCATCTAGAATATTTGAGGTCACCTGGCGTAGATCTAGAAGGAGAGTCACTGGTACGAGAAGGAGAGTCTCCTAATAGATGACGCCAACAGTACTATCTATTATCGTCACACTGCCCCCTCGGTAAAGTCATTCCGTCCCGGAATGGTCTTATTGGCGGTGGATCTCGATATCGGCACGACTGCCCTTTCTTGCAGTAGGAGTTCTTAAGAAGTAACAATCCACACTCCTTCCAGGAGGTAGCCATCTAGGACTGTGACAACATACCAGAAATCGAATGGCCATTAGCATTGTGAGCCATAAAAAGATCAAATGTCATGTCCGATTCTGGTTGGATTTGCTGCATCGCCGCATCTTCGTTGTTTCCATGATAAGGTGCCCTGTAGTCGACGGAGTTTTTGAGGATCTATGACTGTAGGTTCTGATGGAGAAGGACTGACTTTGTGGCAGATGGGTTGTGGAGGCAGATGATCCTTTTCCATCGCATGCAGAGATGAACTGCCTAACAGGGTAGGAGAAGGACTGATTTCTTGTTGGAGACGAAGATTCATCTCTACTGGAAGTTTGTGCGACTCCTGTGGAGGTGTAGTCGGCATGCTGTTGGTTTTTTGAGCTATATGACTGACACGATTGGGATGTCCTTTTGTAACGATGCTGCCTGAGTTGATGAAGATGGTTGATCCTGGCCGACTTCCTGTAGCGTGCACTTCATTTCTAGCGAGGCCTGTAGTATGAGTTGTGTGTCCTGGAGGTTGCCTGCTTGGATTCGCTGCTTCTGATCAGTTATATTGTGCTTCTCCTTTTGGCGAGCATCGAAATTCCGAGTTGCCTGAATAAGTCGGTCCATCCCCCTCGTCCCAGCTTCTGTTAGAGTCTGACTGTTTGAAGGACTGGGTTCTCGAATATTCTGAGACGTAGACTGGAGGTCCTGTTGAGCCATATCCTTCAACGTTAGACTGACTTCCTGAGGCTTGGCAGATGTTAATTCCTGTTGTGTCATATCCCTGGCCACTACATGACTGACTTCTTGCTGAGTCACATAAGCTATTTGTTGTGGCATATCCAAAATTTGACGTTTGACAGTCATTTTTTGTACTACTGGTGGTGAAGTAAGTCTTGTTGTTGAATGCGGACTGACAGATGGTGGCTGGGGTACTGCCCGTGCGTTTGTTGTTCGAGGCGGCACTATCTGAAGGATAGAGAGCGTCTTTACTCGAGGAGTACTCCCCGGAGGTACCACTGGTATAGGAAGAGTGACCACGTTGACTGGAATTGGAGATACTACCGCTTTGCTTCTCAGAACTGATTTGGAACTGGATCCCTGATGTTCCCTTGGCTGAGGCAGACTGACCTCCTTGGCCGTAGTTTTTACTAGGCTGGCCGCAGGTACTTCTGCCTGGAGTTCTGGGAATGTTGATAGTAAACTGGTTTCCTGATATAGGCATGGCTGATGCTGAGCCAAGGTAATAACCTTGGGTTGCAGAATGTTGGCTCGCTGTTCGGAAGGTGTCACTGCTGTTGATGCTTTGCTGGTCTGGGGTAAAACCGCTTGACTTTTTGCGATTATTAATTCTGAGATGGTTCCCCGAGGTTGAGGTACATCCGCTGTACTGAGCCACACAGGTGTTTTCACTCGTAGTAATAGTGGTTTCCTTGTGGTGCTGGGCTGAGGATCCGTAATTTTGTCGTTCCTTACAGGCTGAGGTGTACTCGGTCCTTTTGAGGTGTTGGGTTGAGTGTCGTGAACTTGCAGAGTCTTGCTGATTGGTTGTGGGCTTATCAAACTTTGTGGTATCGTGTTGCGTACCAACTGCTGGCCGATAGCTGGCGTTTGAGACTGAGTTTCCACTGAAGTTATTGGATGTGAGTCTTGAATCTTGGGAGACAGTGTGCTTGGACGTGGTGCGGATTGAAGCAGCGGAGGGATAGCTCCTACTTGCGAATTCACTGGTGCCACCTCGTTGATTGGGTTTTCCAGCACTGGTTGCGTTTGCCGAGAGCGCAGCAGTAATTTCTGTTCCAATGAGAGCGCAGTACTGGTTTCTTTCTGGGAGCTTGGAGGTACTACCTTGATTTGATGAGTTGACTTTGATGATTTTAGTATCAGAGGCGTATGCTTCCGCGTAATGGTTCTTGGTTGACTTCGTGGCGGGTATTGAGCAATGACCTGAGACATTTTTATTCTTTCCTTGGGTATGCTTATGAGAACTTTCTTCTGAGAGCTGCTGATATCCAGATTTTATCTGGATGAACTGAACGAGAGCCTGTTTTGTGTTTCTTTGTTCAATGTTTGTTCTGTTGGTTTTACAGATACTATCTCCTTGAGAGGTTGTTGCTCCATGGATTCTTTTTCTGTTTTCTGATGTAATTTTTTTAATATATCCTTTAGCGTTATTTTCATTACTTTCATTTCCTTTGCCACTTGCCCACGAAGTTGGCGCAATGTGGCAAGTTTTACGTTTTTTGACTCATCTGTGGCTGTCGAAGTCGAAGGCTGAGGTTCGCTAGAAGAAGGCTTGAACTGTTTTTCAGGCGTGCCTTCGTTCGAATCCTTATCCTTGTGCCTTTTTAATGCCGGTCTAAATTCTCTCAGGGTTTTGAAGGTCGTGGGATCGAATTTTTTCGGCAGTGTGTTCAGTAACGGTAAAAAGAAGTCTCCGGCACCGTCACTTCCAAGACTGTACGGTCGTGAGTCCTGTGACATCGAATCTTCGCTATTTGACGGCGATTCTTCATCAGAAACAAAATTCTGATCTAAATACTGTTCGTATCCTCTCTCAATACCAGCAAGCTCATCCAGTGGTTCTGTCTTGATATTTTTAAACATAGAGTAATCTATGTCAACAAATTTCAGCTCAGTGACTAAATTCTTAGCATTCTGCGGGTCATGCAAGTACATTTTGCAAATTCTATGGAGGTCGTCCCAAGGCAGGTATCAACTGAGTACTTGATACCTCGGGTTCGATAGACATACCACCAGATCGTCGCATAACGGCTCAGATATTCCTAAAACGGGATTCTGGAGTGCTTCGTGCACGGTCATGTTGATCTTTGGCAATTCTACGCTAGGTTTACACATCCAATCTCCGCATTCTGAACATATCCAGGTTATTTCGTCAGTTGGTAGAGCGGGTGGGTGCAAACGGCATTTCCAATCTTCCTCAGCTGTGGTAACCTGTAATTTTTATTAGAATCGTACCATGCATGCCACTGTAATGTTTGGTATTGTACGGGATACGCTTACAAAGGATCACAAGTAGTACGCACTTTTATTTCAAATGTCAAGTGGTCTATTAAGCAGTAATTGTAACAGTTTTAAATAACAGTCCTTTGGCAAAACGTTCAGGTTGACGTTCCGGACCGAAGTGTCATTTCCATGACATATACAGGTAGATCAGAATACAAATAGATACATTACATTATTATTGACAAAAACCAATACAGAGCGCGTTTCATAATTGCCGTGCAGCAACCCAGTTGCATGCAATGCAATCTCCCATTTTGCTTCCGTTTCGACAGAATGACTAAGGAAACGTTTAGCTTTATTGGAGCCAGATGTTCAAGTAGTCCAACAGTTTCAAAAATGGACGTGAGGTCGTTAAAGACCTAGAATTATCAGACACCCTTCAACGAGACGTGTAACTTCATAAACAATTGCCGACGAGTCAACAATATTCAAATTTACATCTCACAAAAACACCGCTAATAAAAAATATAGACCTGTTTATTTACATTAGGATGTTTGGAGACATCTCCTCGGTAATTTGCAATGTTGCATGTCCTCAATAAAGGCTAGTAAATCCCAGAAAGTGCTTTCTATCTATACAAGGGCGTACCCAGGAGCAGCTGCCTCCCTTACCTATAGCTCGGCAAAAATTAAATGGCAAGAACATTTTTTACAAAAATTAAATTATACATTCAGAGTTTTCCACAAGCTGAATCAATATCTATTAGTTGAGAAATGACTAGGATTAGTTGAAATCTATGCTAGATATAAAGACTCCACAACCCATCTGCCACAAAGTCAGTCCTTCTCCATCAGAACCTACAGTCATAGATCCTCAAAAACTCCGTCGACTACAGGGCACCTTATCATGGAAACAACGAAGATGCGGCGATGCAGCAAATCCAACCAGAATCGGACATGACATTTGATCTTTTTATGGCTCACAATGCTAATGGCCATTCGATTTCTGGTATGTTGTCACAGTCCTAGACGGCTACCTCCTGGAAGGAGTGTGGATTGTTAATTCTTAAGAACTCCTACTGCAAGAAAGGGCAGTCGTGCCGATATCGAGATCCACCGCCAATAAGATCATTCCGGGATGGAATGACTTTACCGAGGGGGCAGTGTGACGATAATAGATAGTACTGTTGGCGCCATCTATTAGGAGACTCTCCTTCCCGTACCAGTGACTCGCCTTCTAGATCTACGCCAGGTGACCTCAAATATTCTAGATGCCGCTTTGTCGCTCGCCATACCTCTCTCGAAGCAGCGATTCGGAGTATATATAACTCGACGGCCGGGAGATGGAAGCACGGTGCGGGGTACATTAGAGTAGAGCGGAGTGGAGTGCAATCAATGGCGCGGCATAAGAATTAGTTAGACATAAATAGTGGTGTACATAAATGTTCTATCTAGTCAAGTAAAGTAAAGAAGTGCATTTATTTTTGTGGAATCTCGAGTTTTAATCCACACCCAAAAGAACCCAGAAAAACACCACATTATATTCTGCGGTACAAGGGATTATATATTGAATGTATTTCGAATAAAAGACCATCCGCCTTTTGATGCACCAGGTAAGTATTCTAGAAATATAAGTTAACGAATGCAACAAATTCTTCAAAAGGCAACCCTAGCTTAAACTCATACAGATGTCACTCTTTATTGACAAAGTTTAATTCTGGCAAATCAATATTCTCGTCTACAGCTTAGACTATGTGTGTGGTGTGGACATGTAATTATATTTTTCAATACAATACATCTGGTAGTAACAAACAGCATGTGACCACAAAGAATACTGCAAAGCTTGATCGTGAGACTGAAGAACTGAAACACGAAACCATTCCATTGGACGTTGGCAAGTTGATTCAGCAAGGGCGTCAAGCTAAAGGACTCAGACAGAAGGATCTTGCTACAAAAATCAATGAGAAACCACAGGTGATTACTGATGAACGAATTGCGAGCAAGAGGGTCAGCGTGTCGCGCGCGCCAGAAGGGCTACATATTTTAAGTTTAATTAAGATTCCCTATTTCCAATAAGTTTATATCTATAGGGGTTCAGTGAATACAGTGTCTCGCAACTTAATCGTGGTATTATTGTCTCAGCCGTTACCTTACCCTTGATGGTAGAGAGTCTCCCCAGAAACAGCTGAGTCAAGTCGGGATTATACACTTGTTGCCTCTTGGCCTACTGAGGCAAAAAAATGATTCCACCTGACAACGAACATGTGTTCCACAAAGACAACAATAACATGACGAGATAATAAATATCCATACGAGCTTGCCAGGTAAAATAGACCTTTGGCAGCTTACGGTCAAGAACAATATACAAAATTTCTTTGTATTGATGAACATTGGTCAGAAAATTATCAAATTTAGTGCACCTGCATAAATTGATTTTCACTGGTTTGTAGTATTTGCAGATCTGAGAGCAAGTGTGGTGGAACGGCCATCTTTGCCCATGAGTCTGTCATCTCTGAGGTCTGTCCTATCCATATTATCAACGAGCTGACGAGCTCTCTTTGGAATTTGTGATTGAATTTTCTCCAGTTAAAATTCAACGTTTTTGTCTGATTAATATATATATATATATATATATATAACTTGAGACGTGGTCATTGTCGTCTAGACCAGTTAGGTGAAAAATTAAAGCTTCCGCCTTTTGTTGGGTACTTCGAGAAAATTTAAGCAAAGAGGACTCTTTATACTTGTTTTAATTCTTTCTAGCTTTCAATGGACTTTGCCATCATCATCAGTAACTGCAATTACAATGATAACAGTGGCAACAAAAGCGTAAAATGAATTTAAATTGAATCAACTTACAGTAGTATGTGAGGATGTTGCTAATTGTTGTTTTCGTATAGGATGAGGGAAACGTCCAGTAACATGGTGAGAGCTGGATACATGGTGCAATGGTTAAAATTATATAAAATATGACAAGACATGTTAAAGACAGATTAAAAATTATTTAGAAAACATTAGAGCATTACGTCGTGAAGCCATTTGATGATTGCACAAAATGGTGGTCATGGAATAATGAGTGAGATGAACCAACAATTAGCAACATCCTCACATACTACTGTAAGTTGATTCAATTTAAATTCATTTTACACTTTTGTTGCTACTGTTATCATTGTAATTACAGCTCCTGATGATGATGGCAAAGTCCATTGAAAGCTAGAGGGAATTAAAAAGAGTATAGAGAGTCCTCTTTGCTTAAATTTTGTCGAAGTACCCAACAAAAGGCGGAAGCTTTAATTTTTCACCTATATATATATATATATACCTGATGCAGGTAATTTTGAACTATTTTAAGTCTAGCAGTTCTGAAGATGAGGAGATACTGCATGTGGAGAAAGAGATTTGGAGGAGACTTGGAGACATCCGAGTCACTTTCTAGGATATCTGGAGACCTGGAGCCTTTGGATGGACAAGCCACTTCAGCACGTGAAGCAACCAAAGAAGGTTCGGACACCAGGATAAACCCGCTACCAAACATAAGAGACACAAGGAAGCTTCACGGGAAACGTCTAAGAGCCGATCGCCTACTGCGTCCTGCTGTAAACGATTTGCTAACTTTGAAGGGCAAGTCAGTCAAATATTGAAGAATTCTGTTTCTAGTTTCTTAGGGAGCATGATGGACTTAACGATCGGCACGTTAACATTGAACTTAATAGATTTTTCGATTCTTTCTGCTTCTGTTTTCAGACATGCTTTCCACTATTATCCAGAATCAGAAAATCAAGGAAAAAAATGCCCGATATAAAGAAGAAGAGAAAGGTCATACTTGGTGTCGAGGATCGAACTTGAACGAGATGAGGAAGCACATAAAAATTCTACCAAACGTAAGAGGGAGGAGTAGACGATATCCGTTGAAAAGAATGGTGGATAGTCACGAATAATTAAAGATCTGCTGGAGAAGGTTGTAGACAAAAAATCTGTGCTTCAGGTGCAAGTAAACAAAAAATATCAGGGTGCAAGGCATTTTAAAAAGAGGTCTGAAAAAGACCTAGCGTTCCAAATAACCACGATCTTGGAAATAACCTCGGACGATCACGATGCTATTGCAGAAATTGCGACAAAGCAATGGACTGAGTCAACCTACAGGAGGACCAAGTGATTGATAGGAAACCCTCTGTGGGAAAGTACGGACTGCAGTGATCTGGTGCTGTGCATAGAGGCTGGACAGAGCACAGCAGGGTTTTCCTACCTCAAATAGAATAGACCAAAAAAGCTACTTCTATAAGGTAAAACTGCTACCAAATATAAGGAAGGGAAAAGGAACACTGAAGCTGTAATTGTGTCTCCCAAGATATATCCTCTGCTGATCTCCTGAGGAAACCTAAACACGAGGCTAAGTTTGACGAACTCAGAATAAGTGGATAATGTTAGATCAAATGGAAAGATAAAGATTCCAACCTAGCTATTCAGTATTGCAAAAAGAGAATACCTGTCAAGAAAATAACTAAAGCTAGAGGGTACAAGGGGCTACACTTACCTGGTGTAAATATCTACTAGTGCTACTTTTCGCCATATAGCCCATACAAGGAATTTGAAGACTACCTCGAAATACTTTGGAGACATTTTCTAGAAGCTTCATGCTTGGAGGTACCCAGGTCGTCTCTTCTAACTCACTAGCCTACCTAGGAGTTACCATAGACAAAGTGAGGTCATTCAGGCAGCATATACACCGGGTAACCATCAAGGCAAACAAAGTTTCGGCCAAGCTTGCACGAATCATGTCCAACACACATGGTCCAAGCAGTGAGTGCCGCAAGGTGTTATACAGGGTAGTGCAGCCAATCATCCTGTAGCCAGGGCGTTTACGATGCTTTTTCAGAAATCGCGGGGATTTGGCTAAAGAGGTACGGCGCTCAGCTATTGCGGTACCCACTCCCGACTTTGCTAGAAAGGAGAGGATCAAAAAGTCCCTTGAATTCGTGTTCACCGGAACAAACATACAAGTTAGGCTCCAGACTCCTACCGAAGACCAAGCCAAATCAGCTAATATCAAGGGAGCTGCCACCAAATACAAGGAAGGAAAAAGGTGATGGAACACTGAAATCGTAGTTTTGTCTGCAAGGATATAACCTATGCTGATCTCCCGAGGAAAGTCAAACACGCGGCTTATTTTGACGAACTCAGAGTAACAGCGAAAGGGCGGAGGAGCATACCAATTTAACAAGATAGTGGCAGGGCAACCCTACAAGTCCGCAGTATGGCAGGTCTACTAGTGAAGACAAGCGGCATCTGTACTACCTCTCCGAGGACGTATAAATCAAGTCCGTCATTTCTGGACCAAATTCGCAAAGTGGACTAGCTCTAAACGGCGCCGATGTCCGACAGCGTCCCGCCGAGGGTGTGCACGGACATCAGTACCTCTGAGGACGAGGAGGAGGTTCGACCTCAGTCATGCTCAGTAGAATTCAATCTGCGAAGAAAAGATTGAAGCATGTTCTGTGCGTCACAGATATTACAAAATTTCATTTACCGTCGTCGATAACTTTCTCAGGATGCTTATCCACCGCGAGACCAGACTCATTCGGATAGCTCTCAGAAACCCTGGGCGCTGAGGATCACCCTGCCGAAGAGGCACATGTCATTCTTAGTGGAAGACTAGCAAGACCTGAAGGACCTAATGAATTCCACCCGGACCTCCCGACTGTGACGATCATATCGGGGTAAATCTGCATATTCAATCACAATCGCTTAAGAGAATGAATATGCATGCCTTCATTTTGCTACCAGACAACTGTAAAGCAGCAGAAAAAAATTCTTGAGTTGTGGACCAGCAGTTCTGAAGATGAGGAGAAACTGTAAGTGGAGAGAGATTTTGAGGAGACTAGGAGACATCCGAGTGACTTCCTAGGATATATTCATCCTTTGGATGGATAAACCACTTCCGAGCATGAAGCAACCAAAGAAGATGCCTGGGAAAACCCATCATGAGCGAGATAAACTCGCAACCAAACACATCTAAGAGACACAAGGCAGCTTCACCGGGGACGTCTAAAAGGCGATCGCCTACTGCGTCCTGCTGGAAACGATTTACTAACTTTGAAGGGGAAGTTGAAATCATATATCTCACTGGAGATGACACCGATAAAGAAGCGGAACATATAGAACGAATAAAGATGAGAAAAACTAGAAGGATAGTATGAAGAGAGAAAGCAGAAACTATAATAGTAAAAGATACAGGGTGGGGCAGAGAGGATGGTCGGTTTTAAAAAAATCATAAAATAGTTAATTTTTACTCGAAAACAAATTTATTGATGGAATCAAGTGTGGAAAATCACATCAGTCATGTGGTAGCCGAAACCGTTGATGCAGTGCTGGAGGCGTTCTTGGAAGTTCGCGTAGACTCTCTCCAACATCGCTCTCTCAACTTGCGCGACTACCACGCGAATTTCGCCCTTCAATTCGTCCAGAGTTCGGGGCTTGTCCGCGTATACTCTAGCCTTGAGGTGTCCCCATAAGAAAAAATCGCATATGGATAAATCTGGGGACCGAGGAGGCCAATGAACATCGCCAAACCTGGAAATAAGGCGACCAGGGAAGAGAGGGTGAATAACGTCCATGGATGCTCGGGCTGTGTGGGCGGTCGCCCCATCCTGCTGGAACCACACACGTCGGATTGGAACACGTCGCCGTCGTAATTCAGGGAGAAAGAAGTTGGTGATCATGTCGACGCAGCGCTCTGAGATCACGGTAACATCACGACCATTACCGTCTTCGAAGAAGTAAGGGCCAACGATGCAAGTTTGCGATACGATAGCCCAATAACGACAATTCTGCTGGTTAACCACGCTGTTTAGATGAAAGTGGGCTTCGTCACTCATAAACAAAATGAGGTTCTCATTTTGATCAATCAGTGCTTACATCTCACGTGCGAAGTTCATTCGTTGTGCATAATCTCCAGGCTGAAACTGTTGCACAATGGACAATTTGTAGGGGTGAAAGCGGAGATCCATATGCAAAATTCACCTTACCGAACGATAACTAAGGCGAAGTGGAGCAGCATGTTTCCGGGCAGATCGAGTCGGACTGCGAAGAAAGACCTGTCGAACGCGTTCAACATTTTCAGGAGTTCGAACTGTTCGCGGCGCTCCTCTTGGTCTTCTGTTGATCAGTTCACCACGCTTGCGAAGTAATTCAACTCAACGAAGGATGGTGTTTCGAGAGGGAACAGCTCTATTCCGATGAATGTTGAAGTGGCGACGAAACTCACGCTGTACGATGATGACTAAATCATTATTTCGGACGAAACAATCATAGGCGAAAACGCGGTTCTTCACCGTCCAAGGCTCCATAACGGCAACTGGTAAAATAATGCTAGGATCTCATGAGTCAAACGGCACCCTCCCCACCTCTCTCGGAGACGGAGGCGGAGAGTACTACCCATCCCAAAAACGTGCGTCCTCTCTGCCGCACCCTGTATGAAATGTGTCAGCGACATTCCAACTAAGAAAATGAGTAACCCCAGACCTGGAGACCGTGACCCTGCCTCAGTGGACCTAGATCTCTTCATTGATTTTCTTAGAAATAAGGAATGCACACCGCTATTGCACACAAGACTTGCAAACTCGCAAGGGGTCTTCCCGGTAATGCAAGCATATCGTGAAATGCCAATATAACTAAGGAGCTTAAAATTGTCTACGAACGAAATACCACGGATCAGCTTCGTGATACGGCTGCGAAAAAAAACAGGTAAGCGTAACCATAGGAAATCTACCAAGGTTGCCTATAACTCAGCCCGACGGTCTATTAATATGAAGAAAAGAAAAGTCTTGCGCTGCTAAACTTAGCTTTCCTGCTAAAAAGGTAGCTGAGCGTTCCCGTAAACGCATGTCTTTCACCTGATCCAACCTCAGAATGTCGAACTTATCGTTAATGTAGTGCAGGTACCTGGGGTAAAGACTCAAATCCAGACTAGTGCACTAACCAGTTAGCCAGTTACAGCGCATGTTCAGAGACTAGGCCAGCCTAGGATATCTGAGTAGAAACGAGATAATTCGAGTACATCTTCGCCAGTCACTGCTGTATCAAAAAATCATAGCCTTCGACACTGATAAACATTCTATCATCAAATCAACAAGTAGTACCAAAAATGACAGTCAACCGTCAAGAAGCCAGTCAAACACCAATATTGGATATGCCACAAGTGACATGTGAATGAGCCAGCGATCTGGCACAGCAAAAAGTCATCTGCCAAGCCACAGGATATGGCAAAGCGAGTAGTGCCTGCAATGATGGTGATGAATCCACAAGGAGTCTGTCCTAAGATTAAACTAACACCAGTAGTCGGTGCAAGGATGTAAACCCAGCTCGCCCTCCACCCAAGTAGCTGACCGAAGTATGCTACACATTCATCCCGGCTGGTTGACGTCAGAGGAATTTATCATAGGAGATGGGCTGAGACAGGGAGGAGTTCTGAGCCCGATATTATTCATTATGATTATGGATGATGTAATAAAGGCCGTCAAAAGCGAAATTAAAAAAGTACATGTCGGTTTCTAAAAAATGAGGCCACTAAATATTTCAGAGTGCTCAATCGCGGACGACCTGTTATTGTGCCCTAATACCCCAAAAGACTTACAAGATAACCTTAAAATCTGGATCCAGGAATTATCGAAGAGAGGTTTGAATATTAACGTATCTAAAACAAAACTGATGACGACAGCAGAGGGGAATGGAATAAATATAGCTATTAAGGGCGCCCGTATAGAACAAGTCGAAGCTTTCAAATATCTAGGAGTGGTAGTACAAGGCGATAGAACAATAGAAGAGGAAATCAACGAAAGATTAATGCACGCATCTAGGCTCTATCACACAATGAATACATCTTTCTTAAGGAAGAAAATGATAAGCAGAAAAATAAAGATGACCTTGTACAGAGTAGTATTCAGACCCATATTGACATTTTTGAGCGAGAGCTGGGTATTAACGAACAGGCAAAAAAGCAAGTTACAGGGATATGAAATACCTCAGGGCAGTCAAAGGGGTCGCTAGGAAAGACAAAATTAGAAACGAAGTTATTAGAGAAGAGCTGGGAGTGGAATCTGTACTACAAAGGATTGAAGACAACCAATTAAAATGGTTTGGGCATTTAGTAAGGATGAAGGATACAAGGCCAGTAAAACTCATATGGGAAGCAAGTGTTCAACAGAAAACGGCAAGAGGGCGACCGAAAAAGACGTGGAAAGATGGATTGGCGAAAATACTCAAAAACAGGGGAATAAGTTGGAACGAAGCAGTGGGCTAAATTTGTATACATATAATAACTAATAGTTTTAGAGAATGAAATAATCTAATTGCACCTTACACCTACGGGTATATAAGGTTTTAGATAATATATATATATACTTGTCGTCCAAGATATGACGTTATGCGCTTGTTAAAGTCGACAGGTTTGCGTAATATTGCATTAATAGACCACGAGTATTTATATCTCTAATAATTATTTTAAATTCATTTTAACTTAAAATTTATTTTTATACGATTTTCTTAAATGCTGAGACTTGGTTTATTTTAAAGCAGTTTTCAACCTTGCTTGGAAGGTTATCAAGTGGGGAATTTTTGCTTTTCGATGCCGGTTCATTGGTTTGATAACATGGACGTTTGATCTATTCCGGGGGTAAAATTAACTTCAAACGTCTCTAACTTGGAGCCAAGGGTTACAAAGAAACCTCTGAAATTAGAAATGGAGTCACATATCTACCTTCCTTTTTCAGTTAGATGAACCAGCTTCCAATTCCTGAACCACATCTTTTTGGATATCCTGATGTGTTCGCGACTAAAATGATGGGTCCAGTCCAGGTTCCATATCAAGGTTTTGCTCCACGGCCAGCTCCATGACAAGGACCTTATCCTTACCCAATCCAGTTTCTACACCAACATGTTCCCATTATGCAAATACGGTCGCTCTTTTATGTTGCCTAAGACTTTGAGGTAACTTAATTTCAAATTGGATTGTGTGATTTACGTATGTTTAATCAAAGTTTAACTTTTGGTCAGCATATAACTAGAAAAAAACGTAAGAAGCGTTGGTTACTTATGGCTTCATAGTAAGGAACTGCAGAAATTTACATATAATAAAGGCCATTAAGCTGTTATTTATTTATTGCCACAGAAATTTTACATTAATAAACTCCATAAGGAGATACATAGTAAATACCTGGAGAGAGGGGGATTAATACCTCTGTGCTCAGGAGCCATAAAAAATATTATGTACTAAACTAAAATTAATATAAACAATAAAAAATTATATATAAAGTATAAAGAATTTCATAAGCATAGGGTGTTTTCAAAGTCGAGTCATTTTAACAGCTTGTAGAACTCGTCAAAAGTAGTTGATACATCAGAAATCACCTATATAAAAGTTGCATAATTAGAGAGTTAGTTCACATTATCAAAAAATGTTTAAGAAAAATCATTATCAAGTTAAATTGATACCATTTTTACAAAAGTGTTGAAAATTGTCCCCATTTTCCCAAGCTTCGAAAATAAAATATTGGTGTCTGCGAATTAAATCACAAGCATTTTCAGTGCGCTGTTGAAGTCCTTCCAGAGTATTTAGAGCTCCATCACGGTACACCAACTCTTTAAAATCAACCCACAGAAAAAAACGCAAGGCGATAAATCCGGACAGCGAGCAGACCAAGAAATGGCTCCATTGCGTCCTATCCACCCTTCCGGAAACTCATTATTTAGATCAGGAGTTACCAACCAGGGGGACGCGCCTGCCAAGGCGTTTGCATTTTAGAAAAAAAAACAAACGACATTAACAAATAACATTACAATGTAATGACTAATTTACTCACATAAAAATAAAAATTTAATATCATATTCACTTATTCTGTCAGCCGCTGTTTCAAAACCCGGCGTCGTCAATCGCAGTTCATGCAAGTTTGGAAAAGACAATATGAAACCCGCGCGCATCCCCACCGCGCTCCACTTAACATTGATCACTTAGAAAACTATTGTGTACTTTCCAAACGCGGATGAGCATATGTGACATTCATTCCCACAAACTTGTGAATAATTTGACGTTTCGTTGTACATGTTTTGTTGAGAAATCTGTTTGAGTGTGTCAAATTGTTCTGTCTCACAGTTAAAAGGTAAGTTTGTGTTTTTACAAACCTCAGTTACCATTATATTTAATTTACCAAATTGTCGATTAAGTAGAGACGCGTTCATAGATCGGCTATTGGGACTTTTTTACCACATCACAATCAAACCAACGTGGCGAAATACTTTTGAAACGACGAACTTTAAGTACATCATATTGATTCCAAATGTATATGAATATTCAGGGGTTCATATCAAAGCTTCATCTTTGGAATCGAAAAGTGTCTTCTGAAAATGTTATATTTTTCTCTCGGCTGTTCGAAGCAATTAAAAATAACATACTGGGCGTAAATTTAAAAGCTGACACATTTGCAAGCGCTGGAAGACGAATTTCGCCGATACTATCGAGACATCAATTCAGAGTCACCAATATGGCACATGACAAGAAATCCATTTGTTGTCAATGTGTCACAACTACCAGAAGAAGTTCAGGAAGAATTTCTAAAAATTAAGGCTGATTCGTCCATGAAGGATGACTTCCATCTTTTAGCATTAGAGAAATTTTGGATCAAAAGATTGCCTGTTAATTCGACACTTGCCTCTCTTGCTTTACGAATATTAAAACTAAACGGCGAAATCGTCTTGATGTCGATAGCAACCTGATGATAGCTCTGGCAAAAACAGAACCTAGAATCAACCAACTGGTACAGAACATGCAATCTCAAATGTCTCATTAGTACCTACTCTTATTTTATTCCTTTATTAGAATTAAAATAAAAATCTTTGTATCGATATAATGTACGTTTTTTTGTATTTATTGAAATAGTAAAGGGGGCATGAAAATATATTTTATAGTCCGGAGAGCTTCAGCAAAAAAAATGAAAAGGGTATGTTGAAAATTCTTTTTACAGCATGCGGATTTTATGCTGCCCAACATGATTCTTATGTGGCCTCATCAGTGCCTCTATTCTTGATTTTAATAGAAAATCACTCTCCCTCTTTTTCTACTCCCGCGGTTTTCTATTCGATTTGAAATAACTGTATTCTGAACGGACTGAATAGAAAGGAGGAGGAAATCAAGGACACAGGGTTTTCAGATTTGGGTAAACGTGTTAAACCAATCAAAATGGAGATATTTTTGACAGTAAAAAAACTAACCAAAGATTTTGGTCATGATTTCCTCCTTATAATTTTATCTACGGAGCCGAAAACTTTAAAAAACACATTTCAAATGAACAAAAGGACAAAATGATTGAATTTCTCCGGGAGCACCTGGGAAAATTCAATCATAGGTTAAAAGATACTGTTTTAGGATGACTAAAACTTAATATCTACTCACTCTCGTCTTTGTTGTGATCGAAAGTGCAGAAGCTCATGGGAGTGGTTATATGAATGGAGTCAATATCTCCAGCAATTCATACACCAAATCTTTGGTCAAGCTAAACATATGTACACATTTTCGATCCGAAATTATGAAAGGATCTCGGCGCCCAAGAATATCTCTCCCAATCTCTCAGTTCTCAACATCCTCGTTAATAATATCGTTCCAATACATCAATTGATTGAAATTAACCAATATGTTTAGCAGGAACGATAATAACAATGCCAAATACACTTCAATTTTTAGGTTATATGGCGCTATTTTCTACTAATTTTTCAGGTTTCTCTTGGTCGGACCAAGAGAAATCGCGACTCCCTAAAGTGAATTCATTTCTATCACTTTCCGGTAGAATTGATTTCAAGAATACTGCATTTCTTGGCCACACCTACTTTTTGACACTTTCTCTCACAATTTCTACTCCCTCAAACTCAAGAATAGAGGTCCTGCACACAAAATTAATTTCCTAAAATTTTAATTCTTGACGAATTGTTCGAAAAGCCACGGGCAAAATGCAACTTTTCTAGGATGATTTTCAGGTTGTAACGCTTGTACCCGTTAATAATGATAAGGATAACACTGTTATTATGCTACTTTTATATGGGTGATTTTTGTCCTACAAGTAGCTAAAATAATTTAAACAACTTTGAAAACCCTGTATAGTAATAATATATAAAAGCTGTTATATAATGCATATGTTTATTCAGAAGTTGAATATTGTGGTATTATCTCATACCCTTACTATGAATGGTATAACACAGCTACTGAAACAGTAGAGCGGATAGCGGATGTTTTCAAAATTTGTTTTGTTCAGGATTGGCATAACATATCCAGCGCGAGGTGCAATCAATAGGAACTGTGTAGTCGTTTGAAACAAAGTAGTGGCTGTGTGTCATTATTATTTGCTTACTATGGTAACTGTTCAATAATTTAATTTATTGCTCTACAATCCTAAGATAAATTAAAGTTAATAAAATCCAAATGCTGAAAAATTTTCGAGGAGTCCTTTGAAATTAGAATTAAAGAATCACATACCTACCTTCCTTTTTCAGTAAGATGAACCAGATTCAAATTCCTGAACCACATCGTTTTGGATATCCTGCTGTGTTCCCGAGTCGAATGATCGCTCCAATCCGGGCTCCATATCCAGTTACTATTGGCCCAGGTCCGGCTACAATTCCACCACTTTATCCTTACCCGATTTGGTTTAAAAACCGATTGGTGCAAGTACGGCAGCCAAAGGCCAACAATTTGGTAGACACACCATGTGCGAGGCCGCCCTCTAACGATACGTTAATTACGTTCCCTTGTCCCACCTCAAGGAGTGTCGTCAGCATACAGTCTTCCCTTAAGTTTTCGCAACAGTGGCGTCTCGTGGCTCTATTTGCTTTGCGGCGACCCTGCAGTTTTGAATAAGTTCAATGAATTGGGAATTCCTGGGCCACAATTCGAGATGTCCTCTTAAATAATTATAAAATTATACATAGCATTTAGGTAAAACAAACGGTGACTCTCTTCTGAAATTTTAATGTAATTTTATCAAAATTAGCTTTGTTGGAACTACGCAGTCTTTCGTTAGTTTCACCTGCTCCTCTCTAATGATAATTTCCAAACCGCATCTGTCAACGCGTGCGTCGACAGTAGAATCGTATCCAGCCTGGCGCACTTAACTCCTATCAGCTAGGGGAAAATTCTAAAAACCTAGCTATATGCTAGCCTTCGGAA